CCCAGATAAGCAGAGATTCACACAAAGATTATCCCCAGACACACAATCAGCAGTAAACAATACCCTAATCAAGGAACTACCAGAGGGGTGGGGGGAAATAAAACAAAACTCACACCGCCACCAACACTGGCAGGGCATGCCACTGTACATAAACAGAGAGCAAACCCCATTCCATCCTAGCACTGAAGATGTTACCTAGCCAGGTAACAAAACGTTTGTAAGAAAACAGCCAAGCTCACAGAACCCCAAGGACTCCACAGTTCAACCCTGAGCTACACATATTCTCTTCTATTGTTATTTATTTTTGCAACTGTGTATTTGTGGGCAGAACTATAACTGGGAGGAAAGATTGAAGTTCCTATGGCTGTGTTGACTAAGGTAGTGCATAATTATGATGCTGAGCTTCATTAAAATTTCTAACTTACTTTTTCATTGTTAAAACTATCCTACACCAGGTAAAATTCATTATAACCAAACAAAAAATTTACAGTAAGGTAAAGCAGAATTAAAACAAACATAAGGATGTGGAAAGCACCAAGATTATTCTGTTATTTTGAGAAGCAGATGTCACTAACATGCTTTACAACAGCTGTTCTTATCTTGTTGGGTACAGGAGTTATGAGCTGACCCTATACAATCCCCCTGGGTATAGCATATTTTATTATCTGAGAGCAAAACACACCAACATAATATCAAATTATGTTGTGTCCCTTCTATTATTTGTGTGTTTTCCTTCCCCTTTTCCAATCTCCTTGAAGAGACACTTTTTTCCCACATAAGAACAGTTTGAATTCCTTGGCACTGCTCTAAATCATTTTTTTTTATCCCACCTTTATTATTTTCATAAATAACTCAAGGCAACAAACATACCCAATATTCCTTCCTCCTCCTCCTCCAACCCTGTGAGGTGAGTTGGGCTGAGAGGGTGACTGACCCAAAGTCATCCAGCTGGCTTTCATGCCTAATTTCCTTGATTTGTACAAAGAAAATTAGATCCAAATATTTATCTCTATTTAGTGAAATGTTCTCAATACACATTTTTTCCTTTCAGCTTGTAAAAAAGTGCCTCAATCTTGTACTCGGCTTTACTCTGAAACAAAACCTTTTCCAGTCTGGGAAGGAGGTGTCTGCCATTATCTGTAAGTACTGCCTTGGCCATTTTTTTTTCCCTTCACATATCAAATTCAAATTTCATCCTGCTGTCCCTGATGCTGCCTGCTTTTTATTCCAAGCTGCCAGTTCATTTTTTCCTGATTTTTCCATAGGAGGAGGCTGGAGGGGGGAAGTCTTTTAAACTGAATTAAGGCTATTTTAGATTTATACTACAAATATCATTTGTTTTCAGCCTCAAAATAGCAAGATACCATCACCAACTTTCACCAGTTGCATCACCAAAAATTGGCAGTGTGGATTTGGGAAAACTGCAGATTGCCTAACTCTTCCCCAATGGTTTTGGGGAATTGTAGATAATGTCTTTCTGCCAGTGCCCCACGTTTTTTGTTGGGGAATCCTTAAGCCCCCTCTTGCAAAGTAAGAGATCCAAGAGATTTAAGCTCTGGGATTTAACTCACTACACCTTTTTATGGTCAACTTTCCCATCCTTCATTCTTGATATATGTTTTTTTTATATCAGATACAAGAGGGTCTACAAAGTGCACCAGGACATTTGCTATAAGGAGAGCTGTGAGAGTACTGTAACAAATAAAGCACTTAGCAGGTAAAACAAATTTAGTAGTTTTTACAATAAGCCATCATTCCGGGAGAAATCCTAAGGATGCCTAACTTCCAATTTCTCATAGTACTAATTACAGTATTTGACAGTATAGTGGGCACCCTACAACCTGGATGTTAATTTCTGGGGAGTTCAGCCAATTTGGATATTGTAAATATGTGATCACTTAAGAAAGATCCTGAACATCTTTACGATGTTATTTGCTCTTTCTTTGTTCCTGCTTTTGCCCAGCACGCTGTTGGAATTAAGTAGCATTAGAATAATGAAGTCCTTAGAAGTAAGCTCTATGTTACAGTATAAGAGAAATTATCATATACTAAAACTTCTCTTATTATTTCAGAAAACAAATCAACAAGCACTGAAACCACAGTAAGTATCCTTATTGGGCAGTGGATGGGAATGAAGGTTCCATTGACTGATACACTAGGCAAATCACGAAGTTTAGATATCAAGGAGTTCCTTGGACAGGAAATGTCCTGATACCGGATCCTTGCAGTGGGCTCATTTTATAATTCCCCATAGCTTAAACCAGTGTTTCTCAACCTTGCAACTTTAAGATGAGTGGCTTTTAACTCCCAGAATTCCCCAGCCAAGGTATTGATAGCTTGCTAAACATTAGAAGAAAACTATAGCTATATTCACTGAATGCCCACAAAAGGTTTTGTGAATGGAATTAGCAAGACATGCAAATAATGCCTGATGTTTTTTTAACTGCAAATACATGATAGACATCTTTAATATTAAACAATCAGGCACAACAATTAGAAAATTCATGAGAACATATCCAACATTTATATATAATATTATACAGGTGAAACTCGAAAAATTAGAATATCGTGCAAATGTTCCTGAGCCTTTAAATGGTCTCTCAGGCTGGTTCAGTAGGAATCACAAGCATGGGAAAGACTGCTGACCTGACAGTTGTGCAGAAAACCATCATTGACACCCTCCATAAGGAGGGAAAGCCCCAAAAGGTAATTGCAAAAGAAGTTGGATGTTCCCAAAGTGCTGTATCAAAGCACATCAATAGAAGGTTATGTGGAAGGGAAAAGTGTGGTAGAAAAAGGTGCACAAGCAGCAGGGATGACTCCTGAGCCTTTAAATGGTCTCTCAGGCTGGTTCAGTAGGAATCACAAGCATGGGAAAGACTGCTGACCTGACAGTTGTGCAGAAAACCATCATTGACACCCTCCATAAGGAGGGAAAGCCCCAAAAGGTAATTGCAAAAGAAGTTGGATGTTCCCAAAGTGCTGTATCAAAGCACATCAATAGAAGGTTATGTGGAAGGGAAAAGTGTGGTAGAAAAAGGTGCACAAGCAGCAGGGATGACTCCTGAGCCTTTAAATGGTCTCTCAGGCTGGTTCAGTAGGAATCACAAGCATGGGAAAGACTGCTGACCTGACAGTTGTGCAGAAAACCATCATTGACACCCTCCATAAGGAGGGAAAGCCCCAAAAGGTAATTGCAAAAGAAGTTGGATGTTCCCAAAGTGCTGTATCAAAGCACATCAATAGAAGGTTATGTGGAAGGGAAAAGTGTGGTAGAAAAAGGTGCACAAGCAGCAGGGATGACTCCTGAGCCTTTAAATGGTCTCTCAGGCTGGTTCAGTAGGAATCACAAGCATGGGAAAGACTGCTGACCTGACAGTTGTGCAGAAAACCATCATTGACACCCTCCATAAGGAGGGAAAGCCCCAAAAGGTAATTGCAAAAGAAGTTGGATGTTCCCAAAGTGCTGTATCAAAGCACATCAAACATTTGCACGATATTCTAATTTTTCAAGTTTCACCTGTATATTACATTTATATTTGTGAATCTTACAGGGCTAAGCAAAGCTTTCAGAAGAACATGTAGCAATGTGTCTTTTCAAATCATTAGAGCAGCTAGATTATTTGCAAGATTCATGCAGTTACTCTGGAAGTTGCTCTTAGCTGCATGAATGTACATGTAGAGACAGCCAGGAATAGCTTACAAAGTAGCCATGTGAGCCTTGTAAATGATGCATCAGTTTTAACTGTTTGAAAATAGGTGCTTTGTATGTGTTCTTGTATGTTGCAAAGCATCTTTAAGATTTTACTCAGCCACAGTATGCCTCACCTTTTTTTTAATATAATGATGTTATATCTGTTCTTTTTCTTTCTGCCTCCTATAGAGAAATGAAATGTCAGTGCTTTTTTGATAATGGCTGATGGAAAATAGTCTCTCATTTTAAGGTTCTGTCTCAATCCTTAAATGGAAGAGGAAGATTCCATTAATTCTTCTATTGATGAGTGCCAGAGTTGTACCAACAGAATTCCTCAACATGATCCTACTTGCTTTTGGAGTACCAAGGAACTGCTCACTACAGGAACTTTGAATAACACTGATTTCCTACAAATTTTAATTGTAATATGAATAGAGAACAAATCCATTTATTACTTTGCAATCAAAATACAAATATTTTGGCATGAAATTGAGAATTATTACATCAGTATCTGCATAATTGAACAATCTAGATTCTTGTCTTCAGTTCCATCTCATTCCAAGGATACAATAGCTTCATCATTTCAGTTAACTGGAGTTTTTTTTTCAAGGGGGGAGGAACTTAGCTAGCAAGAACAATGGACTTTCCCCCTTTGTCTTGTTCAAGAGATGTTCACCAAATAGCGCCTTCTCTTCAGGAAGATTAAAACAACTCACGTTCATTTTCAGCTTCTTTTCATCATAGGATCTAATTTCTTTATACAAGTTGAGTAAAAGTCCTTTTGCAGAACAGTGCTCAAGCTTACTAGCAATTGAGATTTGGACATATAATTTGATTTATCAACTGCCTTAAACAAACATGAGTCCTGGAAAATGTGCTCTCTTTATAACCAAAAAGCAAATCTTATTGCCTCAGAAATTGATTCTCAAACACAATGGCTTAAAAACACACATACACCCTTGATTTTTTTTTGTTTTGTTCCTTCTTTGCTAAATTAGTTGCTAATGAAAAATTATCCAAATTTTATCCAAAAATTATCCAATTTTTCAGCCAGCTATCCTCAATGGCTTACTATTACTAAGGTAATATTACCATTTCTGATGCTAAATTATTAGCATTTCTGAAGTTAGAATAGTGAAGAAAAAACTGGCAGCAGCAGCAATAGGAGACTCTAGCTGTCCTTTAAAAAATCCAACAGACTTTTAGTTGTTCAGCTTCTGAATGCTGTTTATGAAGGTTTCTATCCCTTCATAAAGAATTTTACTGAAAACCTTCTTAACTTTTAATGGGTAAAGTATTTCCTTTGATATTCTTAAAAGACAAAATTGTGATGCCAATGGAGAAAAAAGGCTTCCATCCACCTTCCCTGGTGTTTATTTTGTAAAATACTAGGATGATAGCCTTCAAAAAGCCTTATTATTACTTAGCCTTTGTGAGTTGTATGACTAGTTAAAATATAAGATTGTGTTAATAGTCATATACTGTATATTTTATAAAGTAATACAATCAGAGAGTCATAGTTTTAAATTACTATTTTGGCAAGTATTTGATTATTGCAGAAAAGGCACGCCTGTTGCCTGAAACATAATTCATGGCAAATTTTAAGAGCTGTAAATATTGTTTATGTAGCATAGAGGAGCATATTGCAAAGGGGATATTTTTCTAATTGGAAAGACAATAATCCTTGCTACTGCCAGAAATAGCACAAAGTGGTTCCAAAGTTCTTTCATCCTAGAAGTCATCAAGAGATGCTTAGCCACATTCCTACGTACTGTTATTTACACATGCTGTGAGGAATGGATGATATTGTCTAAATAATGTGATTTTTCCCCCCCGATGGGGTATACAGCATTTCTCAGTACATCGTACTAAAGAGCCTGGAAAGAAAGATAGTAACTTTTGGAAATAAGACTGCTGAAAAGGAGAAGTGCATTTTCTCATTATTTAGAGCATCTTATAGCCTTTCTGTGCAAAAAAGGTAGAATCCTGCAGTTCCCATTTGGAAGAATATTTTTTTAAAGAGCAAAATTAAGAAAGGATTTTTTTCTTAAATAGAAGTGATCCAACCAGAATTAGTTTGGGATGGCACAACACTAAAAGGCCACAGACTGCATTAGAAAAAAATGTAAAATTTCTGAAAACTGAATATTCTTCTGCCACAGTCAATTAATGTAACCATCAGAAATATTTGCATGTTCATTTACATTACCTGGTTGAACCAGTGTATTGTTCCCTCTACTTCTGATGTGTACTACAATAACACAACCTGCACACAAGAGAGCCAGCGCCAGGTTTAGGGAATTACTGCATAAAAACATAAGATTGTGGCAGAATCTGGAAAAAATAAACAACCAAATGAGAAATGAGCATGGTCAGCAGAAAATGTGTGGTGACTGTTGGAAAGACAACGTGAAGAGGAAGAAAGGAGTGAAATCCCTCGAATTTTGAACAACTACATCAGCTCTACAATTACGCTACATGATTGGCTTACGGGAACCATCTCACCATTAAAACTAGAACATTAAAGGTTCCAAGAACAAACAGGATGAAGAAAGGGTAGTAACATGATCACCAAAATATTACATTTTTCAAAATCCAAAGTAAACTTTTAAAATAGTATCTGCAGATGACAAAGGCCATGAAAGATCTTTATCGCCTGTTTCTTGTCGGTCACGCTGTTTTCCCCAGAGACTGTCTTAAGACAGAAGAGGACCTTCTTATAGTACTCTGTAGTCAGATCAAGGCGTATGTATGCACCAATAAACTAAGAAGATTTTATTTTATTAAAGTTACTTTGTTTTTCATTTTAGATTAAATATATAATTTATTTAAAAGTCATTCTGCTTTCCCTAAGAATGAGATGATTCCTGAAGTTAGCTATAAAAATTATTATTTTTTAAAACGCACTTCTGCCCAAATAAGGCTACCACTTAGGAACTTTATCTAATCCCACATTTAAGAACTGATATTATGAATTTGATTTCACAGCCTGCCCTTCATTTTTCTTAATAACCCATTTAAAAATATTCACAAATATTAGAATTCTCTGTTATCAGAAGTATCCATCAGCGCCCTCCTATCTTTTAGAAAAAAAAGTTTTATAAGTATATTATTTATAAAAGCAAGTACTCCCACTTCTCATTTATTCTACAGAACTATAAATGTACAGATGTTCTTAACAAAATAGCATAGTAGTGGAGAAAAAAATAGGAAGAACATCCCTCTATACAGTTACTAGGAATTAATTCCAAATTTCATCCTTTCCATGGAGCCACCTCATCTTCATTACATGTTCATTCCCTAAGAAAGCTGATTGAATAGTTGAGCAGCTTCTATAGTACCAGACAGCTGAAACTAATTGCAAAATTATTCAGAATCAGACCCTTCACCATCATTCTCTGAATCTGATAATTCTTCCATCGCTTCTTCCTGTTTCCTCCTCTGCTCTTCTTCATAGGCCAGCAACTTCTTAAAGATCTCATACTCTTCAATTGAGGAGCAGGCTATTTCAGTCACAAAATCCTGTTCAGATGCTCTGATAATTCTTTTCAGTTTGGGATTGACAATTTGGGTCTGTCCTTTCTTATCAGGAGTTTGATAGCATCCCAAGCGCTCCAAAAAACTTATTCGTTTATTTATTTCAGCCAGTGGTACTTGGAAGAAACCAGACTGCACTATTTCTGCATGTTTAATTCCCATCCTGAAATAGGCAAACTAAAAAACAGAGATTATTAAGTGAAAGAATAAACACTACCATTCTACTGCAAATAATGTATGTCAAGGTCACAGTCCAGCACAGATGTACACATAATTATGACTCTTAGTTTCAAGAGGCTTGTACCCTTAATAGATATATGCAAGAAAAATCTGGTGAAGTTCCCTACATCCCATCTACACCCAAGGCTGGAGATGAGACTCTGACATGTTTCTTTAGGCAGGTTAGGTATGTGTACAAGAACATGAGGCTTGGGGTGTTTTCACTCACATACTTTTAAATCTGTGAATCAATTTGTGAACAAATGATGTGAACAAATAGGGGCTACCCTATGTGTTAAAATTCAACATTAAAAATTATAAATAATGCTAATACTTAATGTTAATCCCTCAACTACTTTTTAAAATCTTTGTGACCCTCCTGCAGAGATAGGCATCCTGATTTCCAACAAATGATCTGGATTATGGCTCCCACAATCACTTCTCATTAGTTATGATAGCTGGTGCTGATGGGAATTGAAATCCAAGTAATCAATCTCTACTGTGGTAGATTATGGATCAAAGATGGGGGGGGAGCTCTATTCTTTAATTGCTAAATTCCTTTACCTGCACTTTTCTATTATTCCTTAGTAGAGGAATAGTATTTACTATTTTCTATATTTTGCCTCACTACTTTACAGGAAAATCAAACAGATGACTAGCCTGCCAACACCCAGGGCATTAGATTGTTTACTTTCTAAAGATGAAAAAGGATTTGGAGATTTTAATATAAAAAAAATGGCTATGGAAATAGAAACGTAGGCAGAATAAGCCACCCAGGAGAAATTGGGTTATTGTAAAACTTCACAGAATCAGCAAATCATAAAGTTGGAAGCAATCTGAGAATTCATACGGTCCAACCTGTTCTTGGTGGAGGATCTGCTAAAGTATTTTAGGCAGATGGTAATCTAGTCTGTTGGAGTTTGAAGATCTCCAACAGAGAGAAATATGCCATTTCATGAGCAACTAGTTCTACTAGTATAAACTCTGACCAAAGCAGAGTAGCGTGGAATAATTACTTCCTGTAATCTAGACTTTATGACTTGTCTATCGTTTTCTGAAATTATTACAACAAAAAAGGCATAACAATGAAAGGTTTGTGATTTTAAAAAATTCACAGGAGGAGGAAAATATAGCTAAAGATCAGTGAAATGAAAACATCAGGACAAAGCTTCTCTTGAAGATATAATGATGAAGTCTTTGGCCTTATATCTTATCTTCAAAAGCAAGTAATATCATAAAGTAGATTAAAAAGGCAGATATTTCCTAGGATCCATATAATAGATTTTAACAAGCAAAAAACAAAATGCATAGAAACAAAGTTTTCCAACCATTATATTATTAGAGGCAGTATCTGAAGGGGTGAGAAATGCAACTTTTTAAAAAATCACATTCTGAAAATATAGAAGATATATGAAATATCTTAATAAGACATATTTTTGATTTATCTAACATTTGATAATAGAATCTATTAAAATCTCAGGCAACTGTGTAAGTTTAGCAGTGGAAAAGTGCACCACACTCTGTGGAATCTGACTTTAGATAATCACATCAAAAAGGTTTTCTGAAAATATGTAATACCTGGAATTTGTATTCTACATCATTTAACTCTTCTAATAGGAGTTGTGGACACGTTCGTAGAATTTTTGATATTTGTGCCATTGTGAAAAGACATTTTTCCTTAAGGAGATGTTCTAGGGCCTTGATTCTCTTGTGTGGCAACGTAAGGATACTTGGAAAATGAACTGCCACGTGGTTAAGGCTTTCTGTTAAAATAAGAGGAAACAGATAAGATAGTGCTGACTAAAATCCTCTATTCTTTCTCTTTATCCAGACCCATGTATTCCTAGCAATATTAAGGGCAAACTAGTATGTTTTTAAGGTAATCATTTTTCTCAAGATGTTTCTCATAATGCCTAAGCATGTTCTCTCTAAATAATGTGTTTGGAGTATTTCCGAGTCTACTATTACATGTAGTACATTAGTCCCCACAATTATGTACTTAATTTACTGCCCTTATCATTACAAACAACCAAAAATAGGGCTTTCCTTGATTATTCCATTAAAAGGAAAAACAGCCTGCACAAGAATGGCTTGAAACATGAATGTTTTTTCTACTTAATTTTAAGCAAACATTATGAAGATACAATTCGTTATTTTAGTGACTTGATTTATTTATTCATTTATTGTATTTATATAGCTGACCATCTCACATAAAAGTGACTGGGTGGCGTACAACAATTAAAAATAATTCATTAAAAAATTACAAGTAAAAATAACTATAAAAGCATACAAAACAAGAGGGGATAATATTAATAAGGGAGCCATTGCAAAATCTCCCCAGTCCCCTGGGACCCCCAGGCCTGATCACATAGCCAGGTCTTGAGGGACTTGCAGAATGTTGAGAGGGATGGAGCTAATCTCATTTTTGGGAGCAGAAGATTCCACAAGGCGGGCACCATGGCAGAGAAGGCACATGTCCTGGGACCCGCCAAATGTAATTCCCTGGCAGACGGGACCCACAGCATGCCTTCTCTGCCATAAGGATTTAAAAAAGTATAATTTTACTCTGACCTTTCAAATAAAACTAGTAAACAAATCACATTCACTAAGTATCTTTTTTCTCCGTGTGAATTTCAGTAACTTAATTTCAAAAAACAAAAGTAAAAATAGCAAAATGGATGTTTTAAGCATAACAGAAGATTAAAGCACTTATTTTGTTCAACCCAACCCCAGCATCCCCCCCCCGCCCCAGAAGTATGTGCATATATATGGCAAAATGATCCCATTTTGGGATAGCACTACTGTATACCCTTTGGTCCTTTGAGACTCTCCACCAAACCCCCCAAATGTTTCTTCTGGCAGCAAAAAGGTTACCTTTGCTGAAATAAAAGATGGTGGGTGAAATATTTTAATATTCTTTTTTGGCAAGCAACTGACATCTATATATAAGAAACTCAATGTAGATTAAGGAATTGATCCAGAAGCATATATTTCTAGCAATTTGAAGAATATTCAATTAATGTATGTATGATTAACTGAATATGCACACTTCCCTAAATATAAGAGACTGAAAAACTGAATGTATTGTTGACAGAATCTAAACAAATTAGAACTGAATAATCCACTCAGTTCAGTACATAAATTCAGCAATTGCACAGGAAGAACATTACCTGCATCTAAGCCAAGTCTCCTCAGAAGATCGGCACGTTCCTTCAAATGTTTTGGTGACATTCTCAGCAGTTCAGGCTTCTTTTCTAGGGTCTTCAGTATTGTGTTAGTGCTTAAACCCAGTAGGACTAACTCTGAAATTGTAGTCAAGTTTGACTGAAATGGTACATCCAGCTGCAAGCTGAATAGCTGTGTTATCTGAGCAGGACTGAATCCCAGACTAACATATGAATTTGTGGCCTCCCCTAGCTTCAAATGGTCCACATCAGTTGCTTTTACTACTTCTACCGGTGTAGTAATTAAAGTTTCTCGGGGCTTTGGAGAGCATTCATAGTTAGACCTATGAGGGGGCAAGCCTGTTTTGCTTTGCACAAAAGACCTGGTAGCAATTAATCTGCAATCTAGGTGTTGAGGAGACCACCAAAAGGCAACTGGTAATACATTGAGAGAAGGTAAATGGATACAGTCAGAGGCAAGGGGGAAAAAGCTGTGCTTCTGAAAGACCTACAAAAATAGATTTAAAAAGCAAATATATTATACATAATTGTATTTTAAAGGAAAGAACAAGCATCGTTGCCAGCAAATCAAAGAAGCTTGCCTAAACTAAACTAAATCCACTATCACACCATAGAATAATTTACCAAATATTAAAATTAGTAGTATGATAACCTGCTGCTCAATTTACATTATAATTTTACTTAATTAGGGTATCCATGTGCTTCACACCATTAAGATAAATTTATCACTACTCTACAAAATCATTTAATTGTTCAAAAAGTGTTAAGCTTACACTTAATATAACCACTTTTAAGCCTAATTTGAATCACAAAGGCAACATGAAATACTGTATTTTTAGACAACTGAGCAGCCAAATATATTCACAAATAATAGGTAGAAGAGAAATCCCACCAGGTCTTGATCAACACTAAAAATAAAAAGTAAATTGTTCTGCTGTATAAACTATCAAACATTGGGCACTAATATCTATATACAATACTACATTTTGAAGTATTTAAAAAATGTGTGTTTAAAGAAAAATATTGTTCTGTATGCAATAACAGAGAAGCAGTTTTTTCCAAATAATACTTCTGCAGCTTTTCAGGATATGCTGGTGCCCTAGTCTATTTGAAAGACAAATGTTTCACATCAATCAATGCTCATGAAACATAAACTTGAAAGCACATCTAACTATCCTATAATGATTTCATTGCACACTTTCAAAATTGAAATGCAAATTAACTGTACTTTAATCTTAAACTACCAACAGTAAGAAGTGGTTCACACAAAACATTTAACCCTGAACTGAGGTTTAAAAAAACTAAGATTGCTATGTTCACATGACATACTGCACTCAAATAAATTATAACTTAAGTGACAATCTGGTTTACACATTATTTAAAAAAAAAACTGGCTATTCTATAGCATACTAAAACACAGCGGCCTTGCTTTAGCCAAGTCTAGCATGTTGTGTGAACACAACCTACAAGTGACCAAAGAACATATGTAAATATAAAAGCTCAACTCCTCTAATATATGCTTCAAGCTGAATAGGAATTTTAAACTCTGTTTGCCGCTGTTAAAAAAGGAGAGTAATTTCAAATTAAACCTGCAATTCTGAGTATATTTACACAAGAAACAATCCCATTTTGCTTTGAACTTGTAAACATACTTATGTGTATGTATATACAGGGTGTACCCAAAATTAACCTCCACAGACAATTTATTATATAAATTACATTAAATGTTTGAATTGGTTGCCATTTTCTTTTAAACACTATATACACAAACACGCACCTATACATGTAGTAAATATACTTTTTAACGTACTTAATATCTCCACACATTAAATGAATGAATATAAAACCAGGTTCTGATCTTAACAGAGTCTGACAGATGAATCAGAATCCCTGCTTAGCATCACCCCTTTACCACGAGCAGGTAAGATCAACCCTTCCCTTCTTCCCTTTATGGAAGCATCCTCCTCTGGCCGCATAACCATGGACCCTGTGGATGAAATTGTCAGCACCGCTCGAAATCATTAGACAGCCTTGAGCATGCTTCCCTCCCATCCATCCGTAAAAGGGAAACAGCATTTCTATCTGACCGACATGTAAGGTTCAAGAATTACTTGAAGCACTTGCGCGACTGAAAGGACCACGTGAGTGCCACACACAGTATATCGCTGCTCTGAACAAGACAGTGTCGAGGAGAAACCCGGGGTGAAAAACCGCAGCGTCTGAGTAGAGATGCAACCAGATCTGAGCGGGACTGTAGGCAGAGCAACACGTCTTCAGCGTCGGTCCCCTGCCACAACTGGGCTCAATACAAATGCCGAGTGGGCTCTTAAATCGCGCTAAGCGATTATTCTCCGATGAGCCACAACTGGCTTGATTCATGCATTACTCAGTCGCAAACCATGGTTTACAAATTCCAGCTGCTGCGTTCACACAAGACACGGAGAGCTATATGTGAACTCACCAAGTACCTTTTCCTGCGTCTGTCTATAACCCATGAAAATACAGTAGCAATTCGCGTTTCTGCTCACAGATTATTTTTGAGTGGACAAACTGATAGTGCGAAGCATACTCACGCGCCAACAGCGGGCTCCCAATTTCACACTCCGCATCTCTCATAACTTTCGCTGCTGTGACTAGTAGAGAGAAAACGTAAGAGGAAGGTGTTCATGTAAACACTTTCCTTCCGAAACGGAAGCTGGAAAAAACGTTCCGTGGGGCAACCGAATGGCGATAGAAATACCTTGAGGTAGTAGTAAAAGGTCGTGAATTGAGATCAGGCGGGGCCAAATCAGAAAATGTGAATAGGTGGAGTGTTCGATTATCCTCCCCGACAATAATTAAGGGGGTGTCACACCTGACATTTATAAAGGGTTCCACTTGAGTAAAAGTCCGATTCTTATGGATGCTCATGGTTTTTATGTAGGACCTACCCGAACGAATCATAAATTACATCTCCACAGAACGAGTCGTAACGGTCACTGTTTTTGACACTGCAGAAGAAAAATGACAAAAACGTAGCTTTGTGCTACAGTTCCTTATAGATATTTCAATTTTACTTAGAAGCAAGTCATAGATCACAGAACTGTTTCTGATATTGCCATAGCACAAAACCACACAGAAGCGATGATGCCTCAGATCCATAATTTCACACTATATAGGAGTTACTTTTTAAAAAGCATAGGATTTATTACTGTCATGGCAGACAAATGTGACCTGTAAGACTCCGTGAATACTTATAGCTTGGATTCACATTTTTGGGCATTGTGACAACAAAAAACATCAACTCCATATTTATTTTATTTATCTCCACCCATCTCCCCCTAATGGGGCACTCTGGGCGGCTCACATGATCCATTGAAACAATAAATATATGTAAATTGACAGAAAACATAAAAACTATACAAAGCATTACCAAAAAAGAAAAAGTCCAAGAGGCTGATGGTTTCCAGAGCTGCAGACCAAAGGCTTCTAAGGGACTATCCATCTCCACACTTGATGTCTTCCCTCCTCACCCCATGCCAAGTGGCAGAGCCAGATCTTCAAATCCGTCAGGAAGGCCAGGAGTGAAGGGGCCAATCTCAACTCTGGGGGCAGGATATTCCAAAGGGTGGGGGCCACAGCCGAGGTCTATCTTCTGGACCCTGTTAATTGGAGCTCTTTTACTGAGGGGGTCCAGAGCATGCCCTCTCTGTGTGATCAGGTGGGATGGGTTGAAGCCATGGGGAAGAGGCGGTCCCTCAGGTAATCTGGTCCCATGCCATGTAGGGCTTTAAAGATGACAACCAACACCTTAATTTATAAATAAATAAATAAACTCCATATCTCTAAGCATTTCAGTGTGCAGGGAAAACGTTAAAGATGGACTAGGATCAGGGAAACCTAGCTTCAAATGTCCATTTAATCATGTAGTTCATTGGGATGGTTCATAATTTTTTTAGAAGTGGGATGGTTAAATTGGGTTTTCATAGTTATCTTGAATCAGTTTATCCCCATTTACATAATTTGTAAAACTTCTGATGTGCCTTATGCTGAGCTTGATTTAACTGTTTTTCTTATTCAGGTAATGTATTTCTGATTTAACCTTTTTGATTCTGATCCTTATAACTTCCTAAATTCTATCTTTGCTAAGATTTGTGGATCTTTCATTAAATGTATCTAACCAATTTTTAACTGAAACTAATATCAATGTAAAAGTGATACTAATCATTTATGTGACATTTGAAATGTGTTTGAATGTCCTATTCTAAGTTCAAAATATGGTTATCAATTTTTTTTCACAAATATTGTACGTCTTAGAGAATGTTAATGATTACATTTTTTTTCCTGGGAATTAATTTGGAAGTATGAAACAATAAAAGTTAACATATGTTTGGGACTTATCCTCCCATTACTACATTTTGGTCTAAAATGTGACATGACTTTATGATAGTTATCTGTTGAGAATGTGCATGTGTTTCTAGGCTTTATTCATGGAACATATCAACTTACTAAAATTTATATTCTTTTAATGGATGTTACAAAGAGAATTACAATACAGGATTAACAAGGATACTTGTTTGTATACAATCTACTGATTGTAGAAATATTCTTTGTCAATATTTGAATTTTTCAACCAATTTATTCTTGCGCTAGTTAGTGTGCAAAAAGGCAGTGTTCCCCCTTTTCTTTTTAAAATGTATATTTGTAATTTTTATTTCAATAAATTGGGCCATGCTGTTTTATAGGATTTCATTATGCTTAATTGAAAAAATAATTTTAAAGTGAAGTTTATTGGATGACTTGGAACTGTTTCTTTGTCCAGTAAGCTCTCAGTCTAGCCTTCCTCACAGGGTTGTTGTGAGGATAAAATGTTTGTTGTGGGAAGAATCATGCAAACAGCCCTGAGTTTCTTGAGAGGAAACACATAAAACTTTCATACCTGAATTAATAAGTACACTGAACAGAATATCCAGGATAAAAAGATGTTACCCCATATTCTTTGAGCAGGTCTATAGAAAAGAAGAATCAGTTTTCAGTGATTCTCTTTTCTTTCTGAGAAAAAGGCAGCTAATGCATAAATAGTCCCTGTGCTCTAGAACTAATGAGACTCTGTTCTGACCTGTTTCTGTTTTTAGTGTGATCAGGTAGATTCTACCAGTACAGTATTTTCACAGTGAAGCCAACAAAATAAAAACATGTATGTTCTGAATGAACTATTTCTCCTCCAGGTATTTCTCCATGAGGCATAGAGCCACCTAGAAGGGGAAAGGACAACTCCTTGTGGTGCCCTTGGTGTGCTATTTTACCTCCTCCTTTTGAAAGGAAACAGACACATAACAGCAATATTGATGGACATAAAAATGAAGAAACATCTTGAAAAGAAAACTGTAGCAGGCAGTCTGTCAAATTATGTCAACTAAAAATATTTACATTCTATTCTAACCAAAGCATATTTATTTTATTTATTTATGCAATTTCTATAGCTGCCTTGAGATCACTCTCCTCAAGGAATGTCCCTCCTGACACTTTCCCTGTTTTGGTCAAATGATGCTAAACTGGTTATGGTGTTCCTGATTCTCCTTTAGTTGGGAGGCTCATGAATGTAACTTTTCTTTTGATCAATAACTTACTGAGTGATTTTGGATAATTCATTCTCAGTTGAATCTATTTTATAAAAATAAATTGGGATTGGAAAGGGAAAGAGAAAGGAGTCAGGTATATCACCTTAAGCTCCCTGAAAAACAGCAGGATAAAAATAATATATATCCCTATTCTTTTTCTGTAAATAATGGGAAATGTGCAGAACAAAAAAAAGGATGAACGGCACAAAAGAGAACAAGACTGGACTACTGCTGTTCATGGAAAGAAACTAATATGAGACATGCATTAAAATACTACTGTATATTTTGTTCATTTCAGCAAATGATTTAACACAATTAAGTTTGAAGTTACAGCAAATATAATTCATGTTCTATAAAGTTCTCATAGTCTAAAATACAGTTTATGGTGAAAATTCAAGACACAAGACTGATCTGATTATTATGGTTGTGCAAAACAAGTGAACAAGGTGCTTCACAAAGTACATTAGCTAAACAAAGCACCTCTTTTCCTTGAAGCATTAAAGTATCCAGCTCCTCTGGAATATTCATAAGATTACTTTGAAGGTAATCTTGGATTTTCTGTGCATGCACGCGTAAATGTTTCCATTAAAATTGCCAGAAAAACAACTATTCATGTACATACATGTGCAAATAGCCAGGAACAGCCTTTGAAAGAAAACAGGTATCAGTTGCAAAGCATCTTTTTCACATGTTTGCACAGCCCTACTTGTGATTTAATCTAACTCTATCTGACAAGTCTAGGTTTTATGCCCAAGTGGGACAGCACCTAGTGAGGCCTTCTCTTGGATTATTTTTCAATTCCATCCTTCTGTAATAATGTCATTATATGCATCTCTTTAGCAAACTGTATAACATGGAATCATGTCAGTCAAAAATTCTGCACATACTGTCCCCATACCACCGTGAAATACATACGAAAACAGAGAGAACAGTGGACAGCAAGGGACAGAATATATTAAATAGAGTGTTGATTTGGCAGTAGTTGTTGCAAGCTACTGATGTCCTATTCTGTACTACATATATACATAAACACACATTCCTAGCAGAGCTCTTCCAAATATTTTCTTCTCTATATTGACTGGGTAATAGCTTCTTTTCTTCTCTGTGTGGATTAGGTAATAGCTTCCTTCACAATGAAGGAAAGGAAGGCACAACCTTGTAATATAACCAAAATAGCATTGAAAACATGTTCCACTGAAGCAGTCTTTAAACTGAACCCTAGTAAAATAAAATTCAAACTGTCAGTAGTATTAAGGATAGTTCTATTATTGAAGGAAATACTTCTTAGGAGAATTAGAGCCAAATACAGATGTTTACCTATCAAGTCATCAAGCAATACAGTCAATAAAGAGAAGTAATTATTTGCTGTGCTAAACTAATTTGAAAAAAGTGTATTGTTCCTAAACAGCTTAAGAAAGAACTATAAAATGTTCAATTGCCAATTTATAATCCACAGAATCTATTTTTTTTTTAAGGGAAGATGAATTTGCTAAGTCAGTTGAACTTTCTGATAACTACTTCTTTCAGCACAAAGTTTTTAAGCAAAACTCAGCTGTCAAAAATGTCTGGCTAGGGTCCTTTGTTGGAAAATAAAAGATCTTTAATTTCAGTGCACCTGTTGAATAACATACTAGAAAGCTTTGTTTTGTCTTGATATATAAGAAAATATTGACCTTGCATTTAAACTTAATGTGTGCAAAATGTTTCCTCTACTGTGAGGATTTCTCTGAAGCAAGATCATCTACAAAGCCAAAACACAGAATATTATAAACTCATATTGATTATCCCCTTTGGTTATGCATCAACTAAAATTTGTAAGATAATCTCTACTGGGAAGCTAAAATATGTAACCATCAAAAATGTTTCCTTTCTACTAGGAGAGTCATCACTTAAACAAAATCTCAAATGATGTTCTAATGCTTGAAAAAGAAAATGTGAAAGATACTGCTTCGTGTTTTCTTTCAAGAAAAGCCAAATATATGTGGAAACATAAAAATCTAAAAAATCTAAGATCAATAGTATCTGTTCTGCAGTCTAAGCAAAGATTCTGTTATGATTGGTAATTACAAACAATCATTAACAGAAAATAGACTAACCAAAATATACTAATGGAAACACAGGCTGTGATTACCTGCCCTCTCCACTATGGAGTTTTACTGTCTAGTCTCTCTCCAAAGCTACTGAATATCCATTTGCTGGTACCATTTTTACAATGTCAGTGGATGAAAAATCAAATATGCAGACTTAAATTATGCGGCTGAGTCCTAGATTCTATGTTATATATCCGTCATCCTAACTTGGCTGTAATTACACTAGTGTTTTGTAGATAGGCATTATGAAAACTAAATCCCCATATGTGGAAATTAAAGGATCATATCAGATGCGCTCACAGGAGGCAGAGTGAACTTGTAATTCTGTTGCTTCATCTCATGTAGCCATTATGCTCATCACACTGGTATCCTTGTGGCATTTTTTTAGTTTCCAAGGAAGAGTAAGAGTGTGTCCAAAGTTAAGATTTCAGTGATTCTGGCACTGGGAAGAGGTTGATGGCTCTTGTTCTGCAGAAGAGATAATTCCAGCAGGCTGGGAATTTGCTGGCTCATGATTATTAACCTCATCATTAAAACTCTGCTCACACTCCAGGCTTGGGATTGCCCAGGTACCACCATGACTCCAGCCAATGGAGTGAATTTTGAAACTGTTGTTTTCTAAAAATAAAATATTATTAATATTAATAAATACTGAATTGTAAATACTGTTCACCAGCCATTGCATACTTTAGTGTAATTCTGTATATGTAACAGAAGTGTCACTGAACAGAGCAAGATGTACTGATGAGCAAAACACACATAAATCTACACTGCAGAGAAATTTATTTCAAACACGTCTCTTGTGTGCTGAGGCCTTGAACCAACTGTGTCGAATGGAAAATACTCCCTTTATAGAATTCTTTGTAGATCTCATTCATCTGAGAATTCATGGTAACCTAAGAACGCTGCTTTCAGAATCCTGTCTCATACCTGGTTTGCCACAAGTAAATACTTTCTCCCATGCATAGTTCATCAAGTTTACAGGTTGGGTCACCCAAGGATCCCCCATGACCATTTCTAGAGTTGCCCGATCCTGTGGAAAAGGCTTCAGAAGCCCAGACAGGAGGCACATCAGATCTGAGGAAAGAAAGGAGAAACAACATATGTAACTTTTATATTAGCCTTCAGCTTGCCTTTCGGTTATTCTACTTTCATTGAATATAGTTGTAAGATGATCCGTTCTTACATTGAAATCCAGCACATTTCAAAGATCCTATACTCCTTATCACCTTTCCCAGTTTCATTTTTAATTACTTTCTTCTGTCAAGGTGGCTTCTATTAAACAGTGAAAACTACCGCAATAGAGTCAAGCTTTCAGGATCATTGGCTTTGGATTAGGCGTACTGTACCTATGCACATGTAATTTCCAAAGACTTACGATTTCAAATTATAGTCCTTCATGACTATTCTGAAATGGGCTTCTTTCTTGTTTTAAGATATTGTAACTCATTATTTGACCCAAAGTCCACATGAGAATAAAACAATGCAGGCCAAAAGCCATGCAAAAGAGTACCACTGGAATGGCACATGTTCATAACAGAAACCACAGTGAATTTTTCTCACAGGAAAGTCAAAACTATGGAATGGAAATTCAGAACAAAGAATTAGCAGGTAAATGAGAGTTAAGTGCTTCTTCTTGTATACTTTTTATATATTCCAGATCCTCCTTCTGAAGCTATCTATAGGAAGAGGTCAGCAAGCCTTTGTGACACATGATAGTTTGCAAAGTGTAATAAGAACCTGACAGTCTCAAGAAAGTGCAGTAATTACACTGATTTATTTACACACACACACACTTTGTGCTACCTTCTCCAGAGTTTCTAGGCAGTTCACATTTTAGATAAATCATAAATATGTATTGAAATATAAAATATAAAATACATCATGCAGTCACCTAATTCTGAGTAGTTGGCCCCCAGTTAAGTGACACCAGCTAAAGCCTTGTTGGAAGGGAATGGTTTTCACTTCTTTTCAAAATGTTAGCAAGGAAGTGGCCATTCTCATCTATTCCAGAGCAAGGAGGCTGCTACTAAGAGGGCTTATTCCCAAGCATGCTTATTCCCAATCCCACATCTCAGAGAGTGGGATTCCTATTCTACCATCTCAGCTAGGTCAAAATCGGCAGGCAGATTCTATTTGGATCAGACAGTTTCAAAGGTAACAAGAACCCAAGCACAATCAGCCCCTTGAATTGGATCTAGAGGCCAAATGACAAGAGTGCACCTCCTGCGGTATTGGTGTTACTCTGCTATACCAGAGCCAACCAATCAGGAAATGGCAGCTGATTTTTTTTATCAGCGATTGCTTCCAAATCTCCATGTAGAAAGCCTTAGGCCCTAACCATGGCAAAGCCAAGCTAATGCAAAGAATAATAGACATAGAAAGTCAAAAAGCTCAAACTTGTGTGCTGGTAGGTATTCAATCCTTCAGTTTCATCTTGACTGGGTATCTGAGACAGACCAAAATAGCTTAATATGAGCTATGATGCTGACAAAATGTAATGTTCTACCTTCTGCTGTCTTGGAAAGGAAGTGTAAGAAAATTCCTTATAAGGAAAAGCTTGACCCATGTAGTAATACTGAGACCATTACTCATTTTTTTCTGGTCTGTCCCTCCTGCAGGGATATTCAGGCATGGTATTTTACACTGCTATTAACAAATTGTCCAGGACAGCCAGATTCATTTTATCTTTGGTATTTACCATCTGATAGAAGTAATACATCTCCTTCAATGTCTCTAAATACTTCTAAATTATTCGCAGATATAAAAAGATTCATTGTCTGCAAAAGTACAGAATCTGTGCCCTGGTATTTTATACTTATTAGATGTTCTTTTATTAGATATTATAATTTACGTATTATATCTTATTGCTCTAAATGTTTGTGGAAATAGCATTGGTCCTCCACTCTGTAATAAAGTGCGTAAGGACACAAACCTCTCCTCCTGCACTAACAGAAACTGTAGCTACCCATTCAAGGAGTATCAGAACCACTGGAGATCAGGGCTTCAATCCAACTATCATAGGCAATCCAAAAATATGATTAATGACACTGAACACTGCTTAGAGATTAAGCAGAACAAAGAGGAATGCACTTCCTCCATCTAAATCTGCGCACATCATCCACAAGGGTGACCAGTGCTATTTCCATCCCATGCGCAGACTGGAAAGGATCCAGATGATCCACTTCATCCAAGGCCTTCTGTAACACTAACCTGATGTCCCCAGTGAAAGTTCTAAAAACTTCTGGGAGTACTACTTCTTGAAATGTATGGCAGGTATTAAGCAGCAAGGATTCCCTCCTCTTGTGAATAATAAAAGACCCAATGTACCAATAAGAAAAGTGCAATATATAAACAATTAATAGCTCAGAGAAACAGACATGGAGAGACAAAAGTCTGCTCATGGAGGAAGTCTCACCTAACAAAATCAGTAAACTATCAATTCCATTTGCAAAGTTCAGGGTTCTAGTAATATAGAAGTTCTGATTAAAAAGCTAGGTATCATTACAGCTCCAAAATACCTGTTTCTTTGGACATGTCAGATGGAGGACCAGTCTTCCATAAACTGTATTGCATAGAAAGCTTAGCTGAAAAATTATTTTCTTTTCCCTTGGCTTATAATTTGTAAATACATTAGTGAACTACCCACCAACTGACACATTGTAAGGAGGTCGCAATACAGCATCCATTGTTTCTTCAAGCTCACAAAAAGGATTTTCTCCAAAGACTATAGTATAAAGGGTGATACCTAGTGACCACATTTCCAGTTCTGGTCCTGAATATCTATAGAGAATTAAATAGTTAAGGTTCATTGGGTTTACAAACAAAATCATGCAAAATAGAAATGCAAACAAAAGAAACCTGTACTTAAAAAGTAGAATCAAAAATGATAATTCCTTCTTCCCACCAAACAACATGTTGTTCTTTCTCACCTTTTTTTTTTTCCCTGAAGCTTTCTATATTGTTGAGAAGAGATCTGGTTGGGGGAATGGGGGAATATGTTTCCCAATAGTAAGGGAGAACTCAAAATTATTTGAGCTCATTTTATTAATTTTAAATAAGATAAAACTCTTTCATGGTCTTTCCTTACATGATTTTTGGAGTTATTGTACAATCCCCTCCCCCAAACCAGACGAATGTACTGCCCTTGAAACAATTTCAAAATCATACATACGGATTTCCTGACAGCACTTCTGGAGAGCAATACTCAATTGTCCCACAAAAAGTATAGAACATTTTGCCAGGTTCCAGATAAGCAGCTGAGCCAAAGTCTATTAGCTTGATAGTGAAATCTTCAGCAATTATGATGTTCTCATCTTTTATGTCTCTGTGAAGAATGCTCCTGCAGCGAAGATAGTTCACTGCAGATACGAGCTGATGTACAAATAGGATGAGATCAGAATGGCACCCATTCCAGATAATACACTTATTCACTATTCGTAGCCAAAGAAATAATTACACGTCCTGCTTAAAATCTTATTAGCTTTTTGCCTTGAAAAAGGCATGTTATTAAGAGAATATACAAATTCATATTTAATTTTAATCCTGCTTCTGTAGTGATTATAATTCAAAATGTCACTACAGGTAGTCCTTGATTTACAACTATTCATTTAATGACCGTTCAAAGTTGCGACGGCACTGAAAAATGGACTTATGACTGGTCCTTGCACTTACGACTGTCATGGCCACCCCATGGTCATGTGATCAAAATTCAGGTGCTTGGCAACCAGCATGTATTTACGACAGTTGTAGCATCCAGGGGGTCACAGGATAGCCATCTGCAACCTTCCCAGGGTGCTTCCAACAAGCAGTCAATGGGAGAATCCAGATTTGCTTATTGACCACATGCTTCACTTAACAACCATGGTGATTCGCTTAACAACCGTGGCAAAAAAGGTAATAAAATCAGACACAACTCACTTAACAACCACATCGCTTAGCGATGGAAGTTCCAGTCCCAATTGTGGTTGTAAGTTGAGGACTACCTGTACTGTTTTATATATTACTCAAAGCATTTTTTCAGTGTCTTTATTTTGTTCCCTAAAATGTTCATTAAAACAATTCCATGAGGAAGATGAGCACTGTAGTGCCTCTTCTATTTATCTGAGACCATATAAACAGACCATATTCAAAGTTCTGTAACTTTGGCTATACACTCAATCATTTACAGTGAGGCAAAAAAGTATTTAGTTAGCCACCAATTGTGCAAGTTCTCCCACGTTACTTTGGTCCCAGCTCTCTGCAGGTCATTCACTAGGTCCCCCCGTGTGGTTCTGGGATTTTTGCTCACCGTTCTTGTGATCACGACCCACCTCACAGGGTTGTTGTTGTGAAGAAAATAGTTACTTTGGTCCCAGCTCTCTGCAGGTCATTCACTAGGTCCCCCCGTGTGGTTCTGGGATTTTTGCTCACCGTTCTTGTGATCACGACCCACCTCACAGGGTTGTTGTTGTGAAGAAAATAGTTACTTTGGTCCCAGCTCTCTGCAGGTCATTCACTAGGTCCCCCCGTGTGGTTCTGGGATTTTTGCTCACCGTTCTTGTGATCACGACCCACCTCACAGGGTTGTTGTTGTGAAGAAAATAGTTACTTTGGTCCCAGCTCTCTGCAGGTCATTCACTAGGTCCCCCCGTGTGGTTCTGGGATTTTTGCTCACCGTTCTTGTGATCACGACCCACCTCACAGGGTTGTTGTTGTGAAGAAAATAGTTACTTTGGTCCCAGCTCTCTGCAGGTCATTCACTAGGTCCCCCCGTGTGGTTCTGGGATTTTTGCTCACCGTTCTTGTGATCACGACCCACCTCACAGGGTTGTTGTTGTGAAGAAAATAGTTACTTTGGTCCCAGCTCTCTGCAGGTCATTCACTAGGTCCCCCCGTGTGGTTCTGGGATTTTTGCTCACCGTTCTTGTGATCAAGTGGGAGAACTTGCACAATTGGTGGCTGACTAAATACTTTTTTGCCCCACTGTAGTAGTAGTAGTATTATTATTATTATTATTATTATTTGTTTTTATCCCACCTTTTTTATATATATTTTGGTCAACTTAAGACAGTGAACATACCTAATATTCCTGCCTCCTATTTTCTTCACAACAACAACCCTGTGAGGTGGGTCGGGATGAGAGAGAGTGACTAGCCCAAAGTCACCCAGCCGGCTTTTGTGCCTAAGGGAGGCCTAGAACTCTTGGTTTCTGGGCCAGCTCTTTAACCACTACACCAAACTGGCTCTCTCTTCCCCAGTATTAAATATTTTAAGATAGATACTGTAATCCATAAATACAGACCTCATTATATTTGTTCTGCCCATAGGCAGAAAAACATTAAGCGAGAGCAATTACTGCCTCTGGTTTTGGCCTAGAAAACCTTAGGTCTAAATGCAAGCAAGAATAGGAAATAGCATTTTTGCTTAGTTCTACCTATGGCAAAAAGTACCCAACAGAAATCAATTCTTTACCCAAGAGAGAGACTACTGGGTCCTAGATAAAGAGGTTGTAGCAAATGAATAACAAGGTGAGTAGTAACAAATATCTTCTCAAGCTATATTTGGGGGAAAAAAAAAAAAAAGCTTCAATCCCACCCCCATTTATATACGTCTCTTGATCTTTCATCTAATCTCTCTCTTTTCCTTGTTTGTCAGTATGACACCTAGATTATAATCTGTCTGTCAACAGCATTATAGATAACTAAGGTACAAAATTACAGATTTCCTAGATAAGATTTTTATTCTAATGTTACTACCATTTTTTACATGATTCATTCAACAATACTATATTTAAGCATAGCACCTTAGCTCAGATATATTCCTGATTCCCAAAAAACACACTATAATATTTATAGAAAAACTCACTGTAGGATGATGACATAGTAGAAACTTTTTGTTGTTGTTCAAATTTGATATGCAAATATATTTAGTGTTCATATTAAGCACTGATCCCTTTTAGTTTTCCTTGAATAAGGTTACAAGTCAGAGCAAATATAGAATATATTTTGGGATACAGAGCAAAAAACACATATGCAAGAAATAACATCACAATACTATTACAAATTTTGTGATGTTGCTTTATAGAGTAAAATATCACAGATACCCCAGATCAAGACTAGGACTGTAACAAGGGAAGAGGAAGCTTAACCCCTTTGCCTCTACCTCAGTTTAGATTCAAACCTGCAATTGTACCTGGATAACTTTTTTCATCCTTTTATCAGCTCTTACTGCAGATTTCACTTAAACTAAATCTCACCTGTCGGAATATGTAACTTGCCAAAGGCTCATCCAAATCAGGTTGATTATCAATGAATGTGAAGAGATCTAGACCAGTCCCATGCTTCTCCATCACTAGCTGAAAGAACTGCTGGTTTTCAAATATATCTAGCACCTAGTATCAAAGAATGTAGTATGAACAATTTTCAAAAGAACTCCATAAATTTTGTATCCCACTGGACCCTTCTCACTTCAAAAGGAATAAACAAGCCACTTTTATTAATTTTCTGGATTTACTTATTATATTTATTTATATATTGGTCTGATACCTTGCTGTATTCAATAAACCTTCAGCAGCTTACAATGAATACAATAAAATGACAATTTAAATAATTACACAGAATGCCAATGTAAGTGATAATAAGAGAGTGAAATAATAGAAGTGGCATAAGAAACTAAGTTGCAAGATCATGAAAATGCTCTCTAGAATAATTCAGTTTTTAATAGCTTCCTAAAGTCAATAAGGAAAGGGCTACAGTAGCTTTATTACCAATGTGAGGCTGACAGAGAGAAGTGTGCCTAGTCTTGGTTCTCCTTACCTCCCAGGAGTGTGGAATCACTAGCAGCTCTGCCCTAGAAGATCTGATAGGTCAAGCCAAACTAGTTGGAAGAAGTCAGTCTTGTAGAGTGAAGCCATGAAAGGCTTTACAGGTCAATACCAGCACCAAATTATACTCGGAAACTTACTGATAATCAGTGCAAGGCCCACAAAATTGGTGTTATATGTACCCAATTTCAGGAGTAGATAAGTATATGGGTCACTGGATGCTGGACCAGTTGTATTTCTGAATATTCTTCAAAGGCAGCCCCACGTAAAGCATTTTGCAATATAATCTAACTGAGTGGTAATGAGGGCATGAATCATTGTAGCTAGGTTGCCTTGCACCAGGTAGGTGCACTAGCCATGGCCTCCACCTGCTGTTCTCCCTTACAGCCCAGGGTGGCAATGGAAAGTTGGATGTCATCACATATTGATGATACCACACCCTGAATCATCAGATAACTTCACCTAGTTGCTCCATATAGATGTTAAAAAGTATGGGAGAGAGGGCTGAGCCCTGCAGTACTACATATCAGAGCCCATTGGGCCAAACCCTCCCCCCCCACCATTGATTGAAACCACCCACTAATGAAAGAGCAGAACCACTGCAGAATCATGCCTCCAATCCTAACCCCAGAAGGTGGTCCAGTAGGGTATCATCTTACAATTATATTATAACTTATAGCGCAAGGGAGGGCAACATTTTGGTGGTTAACATTAAACCTTCACATTTTGGCTGAGGGCAGGTGCCAAGCAGGCTAGGGTGTATCAGACATATGGATAGGAGTTTTTTCCATTGATCTGGAAAGGAATATTATGAGCTTATTCTAGGGCATTCTAGGCTTGTTCTAACAGTATAATTTTCAAATATTTCCATCTCAAAATTATGGGAGAGTGCAACTCTATGCCTTATGCTGCCTACTCCTAGAGAAATAAGTTCAGACATTTCCATCTTACATTTTAGAACTACTATAAAATGACCAACCTTAGTAGTCACAGATTAAAGCCTAGTGAGAAGATAAGCCAAATCAAGAACAAATAACAGAAGTGATGGTAGATCCAATACTTGAGTTTCCATGTATGGCAATTTGCTGTACTCTAACAGTATCTTCCATTAAGACCAAACAAAGTGGTTTCAGGTACACTGGTACAAACATAAAAGGGGCTTAATTCCTGAAAATATATTTTATATATCTGCTTAAAGGAGCTTAATTCCTGAAAATATATTTTATATATCTGCTTAAGGGGTCTACTATACCTTGATAATATTGGGATGCTGAAGTTTTCTCAGAATAGCAATCTCCTGAGTAATTGTCCCTAGCTCAGGATCTTCTACCCAGCAGTAGTCTAATACCCTTCCTTTCCAAATGAACTTCACTACAACCTGTGAATGATAAAATGCAAAGGAATAATGAGACAAAATTAGGATGGGGGGGTAGGAAGAAGCTTAATTTACTTTTTTTTAATCTATATCTATTAATGTAAGAATAAAGCAGTTTTTTAAAAATATTTTATGTTTAAGCTGCACAATGGCGTGGGAAGGGCACTCGTACATTCATTTCTTCTTCCTCCCAATGATTTAGTGACTTAACAGAAATCAGTCAACTGAATTTGACTTGCTTTTGTTAAAAAGATAAACAATAGTAGGCATTTATTTACTGTAGGCATGAGTAGGCATTTACTATTTCATGTTTCCACTTCACAATTTAGACACATTGAATATTTAGGTTTAAATCAGCGTTTCCCAATCTTGGCAACTTCCTGATGTGTAGCCTTCAGTACCCAGAATTCCCTAGCCAACATGGCCATTGCTGAGAATTCTGGGAGTTGAACATACATACATTACCAACGTTGGGAAACACTGGTTTAAATCAATGTAAGATTCATCACCTGAGATTCTGCAAACACTGCAGCTTATAAAGGTTAGCTTAACAGTTCTAGCATTCAATAAGGACATTATTAAACTCACTGGTCCAAATACTAATGCCATAACTCCCAATATTTGTGCTTCCTCTTTAGCCCAAATTTAGTGGATGTGCTATACCATATACTATTCTTAGAGCCTAGGAACCATAATTGATATTTGTACTTTGGACACTTTAGACAAGTATAAGAAAAGTGAAGATGCCACATATTTCTAAAGGTCTACCCTTCTGAATATTTCCCAATATTGCTCAACTTTCTTTTCAAGGTAAAATATTGCTTTAATAAATACAATTATTTCTACTTTAAAAACAACAACAACTGCTGTTTGTTCAAATTGCAAAAGTTTTCTGTTCTTTTAATTTCATTTTGGATTTTGGTTTTATTGGTTTCCAATGCCCACAGATACACTGCTTTAGTCAGACAGCATTTTTTTTTCATTTTTCTTTTTAATGAGCCTGCAATGGGAGCTTTTCAGGCTATCTGTGGCACAAGCTTATTTTGCAAATAACAGGCTCAAAGTGATTCTAATCCAGGACATTATTTGAAAGAGAACAAAAAATTAATCAGTTCTGCTCATTCAAATCTGCAGTTTATGGGGGAAAAACTTTTCTTCTACAAGTAGCACTGTGAAATTGCTACTTAAAGCATATCTTTGGAACATCTTGCCCCCGGAGGTGAGACAGGCCCCCTCACTCCAGGCCTTTCGGAGGG